AGCCGGAGAGCGCATACACCTATGTAAATCATACACATCTGCATGCACTCTCTGACTATACATGCGACGACGTTGCGCTAATTACGGCATTAGCCGAATTAGTCGCGACGTCATGCGCATCCACTCAGTCACAACACAACCTTCAACCAAAGAACAATGAATAAAGAGTTTATATCCAAACACATCAAACAACTGTGTTTATTTCATCAATACATCATGCTCCTTCCATCACTATAGTATTAAAGCCATTTCGCTTACCTGGACTATTTTCGTCATTTCTTGTATGTCTATAACGCCATTGCCGTCAACGTCGTACATTCTAAATGCCCATTTCAGTTTTTCTTCAGGTGTACCGCTTGAGGTAACATCGATCGCCAGTAGAAATTCCTGCAAATACAGAGAAAATAGTTTTTTTTAATTTTATTCGTTTAGTCATTGAAAACAGAGAGAAAGAACAAAAGAGAGAGAGGCGAAGATAAATAGTGGAATGTAGAACAGAATGAACAGATGGACACTGTCCAGTGTCCATCCAATAGACATGGTCGACGAGTGGATGAAATGCATTTGAGAAAATGCCGTGCGAAAATGCTGGTTAATTATTTTGAAACACTCAAATCGGCACATTTATCAATCATTCATTCCGGATGAGTGTTTGAGACATTGTCATTAATCAAAACAATTGATTTGAATGGTTCAGCACGTGCGGCAGCAGTTTCAGTCCTGAGAACAAAGAGGAATAGTGTTCAAATTGCAATGGATTATCGGGATAATGTAGCGATTGCCGCAAATTGGCTTGCAGTACGTATTCACTTTAAATTGATGGGAAATAAACCACAACACACACCATTGTGTGCTTTTAATATGATTCCATGCAATTTTCCAATTTAATAGCTATTGTGAAATAAGACCAACAAAAATTTTACACTAGTTAGCCACTATTATAGTGCCTAAATATCCATACCCGATAAGTGGAACAATTAAAACCAAACATTAGCATTAATCCGCATCCACAGTAAATGCGTAAATGAAGAATGAACGTGGAAAAACGCGGTAGGCAATGATAATATGGTGCGTGGTTTATCTACGAGTGTGAATGATGATCCAAAGCTTTGTTTTCGGTGTTTGCTTTGCCAAACATATTACAATGCCCAGATTTTCCTACATCACCGACACCAGACATTTTGCGTGTGCGTATTTGATTTATGTTTACACATATAGTTGGAACCTTCATAATAGATGGTTTTCATATCCTTCTATCACGATTTCTTTGTGGCTGTACAACGATAATTTCTCCGCCTAGTCGCCAGAAGTACTACTATAAAATCACTAGACACTATGAATTCGGTTGACGTTAGGCATTTTCCGAGATATCCGTATATACACTCGATTTTCTTTGTTTTGGTCGGGTTTTAGCAATCAACATAAATTAGGAAATTCCCGTTCGCGCATACTATCCAAAGTCTAACTTACTCCAACTCCTGTTCACTTTTCCTGTTTCCCTGTTTCCCTCTGGCCGACACGTGCAAATACAAATAATTTTGAGATCCGATTTTTACGTGAGCAAATAAATGAGTCAGTGAATCTGTGCATCGATTTTTTACCGATTCAAATATATCCAACACGCAAAGCAACAGCTCTCTTCACCAACCATACCATTCACAATGTTATTTTTGACAGATGAAACAATCATGCGGCTTTCAACGCTTTGTCGCTATAGAATAAAGGACGGTTTCTCGTGAACGACATTAGCGGTGTTCTTCTGTGCCTCGAATATTTTCAAGGCCAACGTATTATTAAGAAATTATTATTTTCTTTTACAGATTTTTGGCATGAAGTTGTCTTCATCTTCTGTAATTGATTCATTTGAACTAAATATTCAGAAATGAAATCAGTCCACACTAAATTTCAAATGTATTTCCTTATCGTAAAAGGAAGAAAAAAATTTCCATGTTTTTTTTCGTCAACTGTTCAGATGGCGTTACGGGGATTTCGCCTTTGACTATCCGGCCATTTCCGAGTGGTGTTGTTGCTCTTCACCGAAGGGAGAATTTGATAAAACCGGGCAGAAAAGGTGTAAATTATGTAATACCGCACCGAAAATTGATGGCGTATAAGGCATTCGGACATATTTGTGAGAGTGTGACAGGGTTGGGGCAGCAAAAATCCATTTCTGTTCAGCAGTAAAATGCGAGGGACAACGCACACTGCAGCAACAAATCCCATGACGGTATACAGCCGCCGCAGCAGTAGCAGTATCCGAAAGAGGGGGAGTGAGTGAAAAATAACACATCGGTAGATTCACCTTTGAATTATTGATTTCTTCAGCTTTTCTCTTCGCTTTTAATATGCATAAGATTCGGACAAACGCAAACTTTATGCGAAGTCTCAACTGTTGGTACCGTATATTTTCACATTCCGGAATTTACGCATGTAAAATATCGCAATCTAAATTTTTTATTTCGTTCCCCATATGCCTTTTGAGTATTATGTGTACCTATGCTGGTTCCATTTTCTGTTCTAACGCATTACTCGCCCTTTTTCTGTGTGCACTCGTTGGATGTACGACTAACAGGGTAAAAAATAACTGCAACTCACAAATCACAGTTAATGAGTCAATGTCTCTATCGATTGTATCGGCCAGTGTGACATGAATTTTGAACGTTTCCATGTTAATTTGTTGGAAAATACTTGATAGCATATTCACACGACCTTGAACTAGTTTGATGTAGACCATAGAACATGACGTTCACGTGTTTCATTGTTTGCACAAAATAAAATTGGCTGAAGTTTTAAATAGAATCATTTTGATGATATTTATGCAGACGAACAGGCGCAATTGAAATAATTATAAGAGTATGAAATCAATAGCAATGGTTTAAGTAGAAAAAGAGCAACATCCACGTATATTCAGTACATTCAATCTGCGATAAATAATGTGTATTTCATTTGTTGACGAATCGTGCACCATAAGAGATTGTTGAACGTTTGCAATGACTTAACGATCAAAATTTACTTGAAATTTTGATAATGAACTAACACAATACAAACAAAGGCTAGCCACTGTATGTGAATGGTCGTGTATACTATTCGTTTGTATTGTGATTTCTGCACAGAACTGATGACAGTGCGTGTGCGTGTGTTAATATATCACTTTGCAATAGCCGCTTGAACATTTGCAATGCTACACATTGAAAGCAAATTCGACAATTTGAATTTCTGAAATATTTCGTTTCAATAATAATGTTTTGACGCATGGATTTTTTTTTTCATATAGCTGGGATTAAATATTAATCCTTTTGGATTTTTTAGCTAAAGAATCCCAATGGATTAAATTCTAATCCCATTGGAATTACAGTGTAGCTGGTGCGAAGAACAAGACAAAATGAAATAATAACAAAATGATTACTGAATGTCATGTCCATGCAAAAAACAAAATTTCCCATTTGGTATTTTGGTTGCGACTGAGTCAGTTACTCATTCATTTTTCTAATTTCAGAGCAAGCATGTTGCTAAATGGATTGAAACATTGAGATGAGAGCACCAGCTCTAAAAATATAATACTATTTCTTTGGAAGTACAAAAAAAACTCCCGCTTGTGATGTAGATTGAAACCACAGATATAAAAAGCAATAATAACAACAACAACAACACCACCACAAATGCCAGTAGCAACACTAACAAACGGAAAATTATAATTATAATTCGCGATACTTATGAGAATAATTAAAGGAAAATCGCCCGCTTTTTTTGGTATATATAGCATTCACTAGCATGAACCATAAATGAAGAGAAGCATTAATAATTGTTTGCGACTCATTCGTGCCAGTCTGGCCAATGGCTTTGTGTGCACGTTAAATGATTTTTCCACCAAATCAGATGGATGATGATGGTGTTAGTTTTTCCATTCACGCGTACACATCACTATCCTATGGTCATAATGGGCTCTGGTGTACTAACAGTCTAACACTTTAGCGCTCGGCTGTTCAAAACTTCTCTCTCTCTCTCTCTCTCTCTCTCTCACACACACACACACATTAAACACCAAATCATTGATTTTGAATGTTTTCGACTTGAATTATTGTACATTGACCATAGCTCGTCGCCTTCGCTCCAAACCGAAAGCGACGGAAGAAAGTGTAACGATAGCATCTCAACAATGTTGTGAAAACTCTTGCTTAATTATCCAAGTTTGACTATCAACAATATATTATATTATATATCTTTATGTAGTATTTCGTTCAGATACTGAACGAAACAACACACTTCGGCCATTGTAGTTGATGACGGCTTCTGCCGTTCGGTTCGAACAAAGTTCATCGAAGAGAATTTAACATTGTTGGGAACGAGAGGTAGCGCGATGTACTTATGGGATTGAAAATTTCGTGTTCGAAGTGAAGAAATGTTGTCTTTTTTATTGATTGAGAGGCAATTGCTGAATCAATTATATGGAAACTGAAACAGCTTCCATTGAGAGCGTGCGAAGGAATCTGGCATCAAATTCATTTGAAATGTGCAAGACACACGTCGAAACCGATGATTACACAGTTTACGACGAGTGACATTAGGCAATCGTGTGATCAAATAAATTACATCAGAATTAGTACAACATAGTAATAATTGAGACCGAGCAATCAGTTTCAAACGGAACAGAGAAAAATGGGAACGTGCAAGAGAAATGTGCACGTCTTTTGGCACACGTTAAGTTAACAACTTTTTGTTCAGTAAGTTGACATACACACGTCCCTGAATGCATATCACTGCTATAACAATAAGGTATGATCATTGCCTCTAGTGACTACCAGTCAACTAATTATGACACAAATGTAATACGAAAAAAAGGGAACCAAACGTCGTAATAGTTTGCCTAGGTAGGAACGGCATTTGCGTTTCGTGTAGAACTGTCACTTGGTCCGTGTTCGTGCGTCGTATCGTTGGTTGAGCAATGAATATGTGTGATGTGCGTCTTGTATAATTTTCCAATATCAACGCGCATGCATTGGCTGCTACGTGTTGAAGTAATATTTGGCCATTTACCAAATGACTATCAGTGTTTAGTTACACAACCCCACTCTCCGTCGTCTGTTAATGATTCGAACGATACAAGCCAATAATAAATATTTCCGGCATGCAGAGATTTATTAAATAGTTCACGAATCGAATGGATAAATTTGCTCCATAAATCAGGAACTCATTGCAATTAAGTAACAAAATGGGATTACTTTCCAGCATTTATATTGGCCACGCACTTCTGTCTCGAAAATGAAAATCACATTCGTTTTAATTATTCATTGATAATTGCATTTGGATCGCTCCCCTGCGATAATGTTCGAATGGTTTTAATAATCGATATTGATTCGATTCGATCGAATTATTGCAATCACTGTGATAGACATTGTCGCGAAAAGATCTACAATCCATTTTTCTACATTTGCTATTGACATTTTGAATCAAACAAATGCTTTTGTAATGAATATGCGGTCAAGTTTTCTCGGCTTATAAACAAAACCAATATGCTTCGTTATATGGTTAAGGGATTGTGCTTCTTCTCGGACCATTCGTAACTAAGGTAAACGCAAACATTGGAAAATACCGAACATGCTGTGAAGCCGTCTAGGAATTTGCCATGATTTTATTTACAAATGAATATGTCATAGTCCATAAGCACACAGCCGGTGCGTTCGCCTCTGATACATATATTTTTTCTCATTCAAATGGCATTTGTTTTATCCATCCAGTGAGCCATAAAAGGCGTACTAAAGTTATATATTAAGTGTGTGTGTGCGACTGATTCGAACGAATAGCAACTTTTGGAACCCATAAGAAGCGAAAAGTTTGTAATCACGTTCTTTTTTCAGTGACTTGCTTGGAACCACATCAAGTATATTAGATTAAAAGCGCACCAAACCGACGAAATGAAGAAGTTTTCAGCAGGCAGTGCTTCGGAACAGCGTCGGAAGGAAGCAAAGAAGGGAAAGAGGGAGAGAGAGAGAGAGAGAGAGAGAGAGGGTAACAGCTGCGTGAATGTTGCTGTTTTATGCTTTGTTCTCTGTTTCATTTCATCGATGATTGCGTTCGGGGTGTCTCCGTGCACGCTCAACTTAATCGCTATTTTATTGATAACAAAAAATAAAGTCCAGCACATTTACAATGAATGTTATTGTGCCATTTAACTGCGTGAAACAAAAGTTTTTTTTTATCAGTCAGCAACGGATACGATAATATAATTTCAACGCACGAGCAACGTTGACGAAAAAGTTCGGACAACACTAGCTATATTACACCAAAAAAAATTTCTTTTTTCTTCGCCAGAACGATGGTATAATGTTCATGTTCAAGCAAAATAACATTCTGCCCATTCGATAAATATCTATAATAAGAACCATTTCATTTCACCATATCCACAAAATTGCTCATTGGTGTTTTGTGAAAGGTATTTCAGCTCGCCATGAAAATAGTATTTCAATCGCCGCTAAAAATTTGAAAGCCACCAGCAAAGGAGCGCCAAAAATGCATTCGAGTCGTGTGCGACCAATGGCGGCGGGTGAGGTTTTAGACACCTACCTCGACTCACTTTCATTTCATACATATCAGGCAATGGCGTTTTCCTTTTTTCCACTTGAAATGCGAATAAATTCCGTTTTATGGCAAGTATTTCTACATGCTTTTCATTTGGGTCTTAATTACACTATTTCAACATTTTCGATGTATAGGTGATTTTCAAGGTGTATGAACTCGTTTAACGTTTTCCAAACGCGTTTTCCCCCCTTCCGTTCCAATCGTCCAGTATTTTCATATTTACAAATCCGGTGCGTGTGTGTGTAAGTGTTTTTTTTTCTATTTGTCCATTATTACAATTTCTGGCTAGTTTGATTTCAGTTTTATCGCTTTTCATAGCATTCTTCGGAGGTATACGCTTTTGATTCGCTACTTTCACTATTATTTTGTCGCTAAACGTTTAAATATTATCGGATGCATATTAATGGGAATGTATATGTTTATACATACAAGTATAAAATATTATTTAATTTCCAAACTGGAGTTTTGATCACCTGGCAAAAACAACACACATTCAAACTGTGAATGAAAAAAGGCCATTTCGAATATGCCGCTTATTTAATTATTTACTATGTACGTATGCTAATATAATATGAATAAATTTCCCTTGTGCTACATATATGGTCCTGTTAGTTTTCAATTTGAAATTGTTGTGCCGGGAGCTTGGGCGATACTTTTGAATTTATGCTTGTGTTCGTTTCCAATTATACGTCACCAGGCGTTTTTCCACGTTTTTAACTTTTCAAGTTAAACAATCAAGAATAGGTTTTCGTTTATATTCATTATAATTTTTTGAATTATTTCCTTAATTACTCCATTCCATTTTATACAAAAAAGAACATTGGATGGATTTTTGAAACGTATGTAAAGAGGACATTATTTTAATGCATCGCTTCCGTTGCTTCTCAATATTCATGGGAATTTTATCGATTGAAAATCTGTTGATTATTTTGGTAAAATATGATAGCATGAGCTGAAATAACCGAATCGAATTGAATTGAAATCATATCCAATTTTAAAACTGCTTGATATTAATGATTGCGTAAAATAACATCAACGACCATTAGACAATGTAACACACAATAATTCTATTTTTTTTTTCGAGGCTTTCTCATCCACTTAATTCGAATTCCCGTGCCGATATATCCACGAATTGAAATGTGAACGAGCGCACAATGTTGATGTAATTACTGAACCGAAATGAAATTTGCATAGTTGAAATCGTGCAGCAGAGCGCGCACACGCACCAAAAATTACCAATGCAAACGAGCTCTTAGCATGCGATTCGATTCGATTCGATAAACCACTTGACAATAATGTGTTTCGCATTTTCATTTTACCATTTGTGCGAGCTGTAATTCTGAAACGTGAATTGAGTTGACGCATCATACGCTACCGTTGATTTACTTAATCGTCTGGAGATTTGGTGTTTCACGGAACAAGATAAAGAAAAAAATCGATAATTTTTCATTTTCATCTCGGTTCTATTTGTCTCACGTGTTTGTTTCGTTCATCGAAGCATCAAAATCGAGACTGCATTGGATCGTTTGTAGTTCGTTGAAAAGCTCTAAAATCCAGAATGCAATAACGATGAAAATGAGCATCTACAGTGAACACAAAATGAAAGTTTCATTCTACGTATGCTCTGGTTATACTTAGAATAGCGAAAACATGGAAATAGAATTTGAGCAATGATAAAAGGATCCGGATCATTGACATTTCAATGATGTAGAGGCCTCCACATATGCATCAAACAAGATGCATTAAATGTCAAAAAAAATATATTTATATAATATGTATGATGTAGCCTAGCCTTAGCTGATTTACAGGTAAATTTTTCAACACTTTTACCCGTATCGTAATGTCAACTGATACTCAAACTACCCATGTACATATGGCAGATAGATAACATTACTCACACTTTGTGATATGCATGCAATTGCAACCAACAGAGCGCAGCAATAGCAAGAAATCTGTGAAAATATTTTTGATGTATCCGGATATCCTTTTAGATACGTATATGTTGAGTCAATATTCAATTGCCACAGAATCAAAAGCCCACGTGGATTGCAAGACTCATAGCATGTGAAAAATTGTGCTTTAAATGAGTGCCTCTGCTATCGAAACTCCAGCTCCTTTTCTATTTCCATTTAGCCTCGCGTAAGCTCTCCGCATTCAGAAAGTCAAAGTGCTACGTACTCGCAAATCCGTTAAAATATGAACTCTGTTCTGAAAATTTTTCCAGATCTGTACGAGTCATTTCGCTATTCGGTCGGTCGGTCGTGTGCGGTGCCCGATTCATAGCCATTTCATCTTGATTCGATGTAATGTTACGTTTGTGAGCGAGAGCTTACAGTAAAAACACCTCAGCACCTTCAGGATTATAAGTGTTGTGGACCATTTGCTTGGTTTAGTTCGAGATACTGCTATTTAAAAGTATAACACTTATAAATAAAACATGCAAAAATGCCGATTCCGTTAATGCTTTGGTTTTATTTTTGTTTTAGTTGGAGTCATTTCGTCTTTATGTTCATCATTTCCATTTGGTTTTCCCTGTGCGCGTATTTTGTAGGTTACGCGAATGATTGCAAAGATGGGAGCGAAGAATAAGAGAACGCTCTAGCGAATGAACGAGACAAAAGAGGCAGACCTAACCCAGATAGAACGTCGATCGATTTGTAGCAAATATAAGTGTATCTCAAAACTTTCTCTCATTTTTGAGCACATGCAAAAAGGATCTCTCTCTGCATAAAATGTGGATGTGTGTGTATACCTGTTATAGTACAACAGCTACGTGTTCCGCTTGAAAACCTAAGCGCTACCACTTGACGCTGTGCTGTGTATGCGCAATAAATATACAATTTAAATAGAATTTTTCAAATGAAATTGCATTATTCATTCGATCTTTTCTATTTTGTTGTCATTCTGTCTGTGTTGATGGTGCTATTGCTGTTGCTATGCCGTTATCGTCGACTTATTGCTATAGTCACAATTGCAATCGTTCTCCCTCTCTCTCCCTATCGCTTAGTATTTAAATCTTATGTTTGTGGTTTATATTTCCAAGTGAAAATTTCTGCTGTCAGCAGAAGCAATTGATGTGACTAACGCTCATATGAAATTCGTTCGAGTGAAACGTAAATGGTTTCATGTATATTTTCAAATTCTTCAGGCCAAAATGGCATTTGCCGAAAGGAAAATGGATGGAAAGGAAACATACATCACCAACGAAAAACCCAAATGTTTATTTGCACATTTTGATAATTTATTTTACAATGGAGCACAGCTACCAAATAGAATTGGCATACATATATTTTAAATTCATTATCCTGACCGAATTTGCACACGAACTTCTTATTTTCACATTCAATTCAGCATAAAATCCATCTATATGGGCAATCAAACGTTTCTTGAATATGAATACCGTATGGAATGTCTCTATTTTAAACGAACGAAATAACAGTGAAGAAATCAACACTAACAATAACATTATTTGCAAAGTAGAGTGCGTCCATATAGCACCAGTCTGACGCACGCACGTAGTGCAAAGAGCACGGTCGTGGACGCACTTACGTCAAACATTGCCGTTGAAATGTGTGGCGCTGTTCGTTTGACAGCTACTGGATGAGACTATCGGTGTGGAAGAAACGTACATCCAGTGTCGTATACATGTTTATTAGGGAATCCGAATTTAATTCGGCATAAACTCCAATCTGTCCATTCGAGAGGTCGACCAAAAAATATTCGGACTGAATGAAAATTGTGTTCGAAAGACTTACCTTAAAATCAATATAGCCATTTTTGTCCATATCAAATGTTCTGAATACGTGATCGCAAAATTCTTCCGCATTACCAGATGGGAAAAACATTTTGTACATATCCACGAATTTGGCTGGAGTTAAACGACCGTTGGGACAATCTTGCTGCAAATTGATGAACGAAGAAACCGCACATGGAACGATAGTTGAAAAAAAAAATGTCTTTAAATTTGAATATTAAAATGAATGCTATGATGTGGAAACATGGAAAATTTAAATAAAAAAAGCAGGTGACACATGTGACATAAAGTTTGTTTGGTCAGTGGACGGTATACAGTGCTTTTTCGACGGCCATTTATATCTATTTATTTAAATTAGAAAGATAATACTAGGCATTAATTAGCATTTTGATGCTTGCATTTCATAGGAAATCTAATTCGATTCAGTTTGAATGAAGTCACGCATAGTCGAACACAATAAATTTATCTCATGTGGCAGTACCAACTCAAATTAAATTCGCTCAATGAACATATCAGCCATGTCAATTTCGATTTCCATCGATATTACAGGTCCACTGAAAATCCATTCATATTGTCACTTGCATATCGACTGTATGTATTGAACAAGAGACGTGATCTGCATGCGTTTAATCGAAAATACATGTAAATTTTAAAAAATTAGCATGTTATTAACTGGAATTGACAAGTCTATAGGTTTACACCATAATATCGACTTTAATATGTCTATCAACATCATGAAGGGGACCATTTTGCATCCAATGCATTTAAATCATGAAGTGATTGGCCTCAGAAGAACAGATAAACTTCACGTAACATATTTCTAGCGCATTTCACTGAGTTATCTAAAAACGAATTTGTATTAGTTAATAGGTTCAAGTTCATTTTATCCACATAGGAATGAAGTCAGCGCAAAAAATATATTTAATAAATATGTACAAACAGTACAGACAAATATTTGTTGTGATGGAACTTTAAACTTTATTTCAGATAGTATGTTGTACTTAACATTCCACATAACGTTTCAGTTAAAGTTTTATATGTATCAACAAACTAAAAGCAAGTGAAGCCAAACTTGAAAAGTAAAACCGAGTATAACATTCTACGCCAAGTCCAATTTCCATTTATATGTCCAGCTGTTCAAAATGCGTAGCTGTAACAAACAAGCGAGTGGAAAGAATAAAGTAATTTTCATAACAGTTTCGTTTATTTCATGATTTGCTGTCTATAATTACGCCACGTTGTGCACTATGTCTGTCAGGGGGTAAGCCACTATTGATGAACCAGAATAAGTAGTAAAATTTCCATTGTACGCGGAGGGCAAAAGCTGTATAGCACGGGTAGCTTTTGAAAAAGCGGCCTTCATTCTCATTTAATTTCGTTTACAGCGTGGCGCACTCGAAGTGTAACTTTTTTGTTTTTTGATATCTTTGATTGCTCTAAAGGCATGAAATGTTGTAAAATGATTAAAATTTTAGAATCAGCATCCAGATTTCAATTTCAATTTCATTGGATCGAGTTATGAGTTCCTACGATTCAACAACATGCGCCCTGCACGAACGTGGGTGTTTGGAATTAGTTCTTATTCTGGCATATATTCTTATATAGTCTTTACATTGAGATAACCCATGTTTTGTATTTTTGTGGGCTAACAGTGCCTTGCAATATGCTTTGGGAATGAAAGTCTTTGGAAATCTTCTTCATTTAATTCGACAGCCAATAGTCGACCAAAATGAGCTCCAAAAAGTTGTTTTTTTTCACCGAAGCATGGCTTTCTTCCAGTATGGGTTAAATTCAAGTATTTTATTGGAATCTTTTGGAACAATTATTGCCTAGTTTGTATTCAAAGAGCTCCGATCTTCACCCCAGCCTCGATGACGTCACATGATGTCACTTATTTTGGGGTCAGAATGGAGAAAATTGCGAGGAAATCCAATAATTCGGAATTATCACAGTTCCGACCTTCAAAAGGAGTTATACATGGGTGATAGTGGTCCAATAAAGACTGAAATTCTTTTATAATATTCTACGAACTAGAATCTAATCACTTTCATGGTGTGTGGTTATCCAAACTATATTAATAATATTAAAATTTTCTCAAATCTACCACTTCCGTGCAAACACATTTAAAAAAAATGGTGAACGTGAGGGCATAACTCGATCCAGGGCAACTGAAAATGAAACCTGAAAGCTGATTCTAAGATTTTTATTATTTTCCAACATTTCTTTTCTTTAGAGCAATAAAAAGTATCAAAAAACAAAAAAGTTATAATCTTTTGTATTAGTTCCACTTAGTGTTGGCCGTCGAACACTTTCGAACACTTGTTCGACCGTTCGAAAGCATTTAAAAAAATTGTTTTGTTCGTTCGTTCGTTCGAAAGTTTTGTAAAAAATTATTTTGTTCGTTCGTTCGTTCGAAAAGTTGAAAATTATTTTTTTTGCTCGTTCGTTCGTTCGAAATTTATGAAAAAAAAAATGTTGTTCGTTCGTTCGTTCGGAAATTGCTATGTTCGACCGTTAGGATTTTTACATTTCAAATACATAAGAAGCAATTTTGATTTCTTTGGGTAAGACTGAAGGTACAACGTAATTACCGGTGTTATTACTGAGTAATACCACTGGTAATAATTATTATCGATATTATTACCGATTAATAAGTAATTACTAAGATGATAGTTATTACCGATTGTTACCGAGTACATACTTAAGCTTAAGTACAAAGTTTAATTAAGTACTTAACGGTAATAATCGGTCATAACTATCATCTTAGTAATTACTTATTAATCGGTAATAAGATCGATAATAATTATTACCAGTGGTATTACTCAGTAATTACACCGGTAATTACGTTGTACCTTCAGTCTTACCCAAAGAAATCAAAATTGTATTTGCTTCCTATGTATTTCAAATGTAAAAATCCCAACGGTCGAACATAGCAATTTCCGAACGAACGAACGAGCAACATTTTTTTTTTCATAAATTTCGAACGAACGAACGAGCAAAAAAAATAATTTTCAACTTTTCGAACGAACGAACGAACAAAATAATTTTTTACAAAACTTTCGAACGAACGAACGAACAAAACAATTTTTTTTTATATTGTCGAACGGTCGAACGAACGTTCGAAGCCAACACTAGTTCCACTCTAGGGGAATATCACGCTTAAATTATTTCAAATATTTCAAAAAAATCCAATTTATCTCTAAGAATCTGTCAAGCACCGGTTCGGACATAGAAATATGTTTACCTAGATGTTCTATACTGTATAAATATGCAAAGCATAGACGCATACGGACGACCGTGCGACGAACGTAACACTTCGAGTGCGCCACCCTGTAATATGATCCGCATATCGTGGAGACGCATGGATCTTGAAAGGACCAGTTAATTTAAAATTTTGGTTGGATGGAAAGGCTATCAAGGATCTATGAAAAGATAAAAAAAAATTAAAAGATATCTATCTTCAAGGATCTATGGTTTGATCGCCTACGGATACCGATTTCTGCAATCACTTTAGTCACTTAGCACATGATATACACTGAAAAATTTTATGAGTGAATTCTCTACGAATTTTATTGGTACAATGTACGAAGTATTCGTAGCATATTTTTCATACGAATGTATTCGTGAAATGAAACTAATGAAAGACGTACTATATACGAATATATTCTTACAATGTACAAACTGCATTCGTAATAATTTTTTTTTGACTAATATGAGTAAATTGCACGAATTTATGCGTACATTCTACTTATGAAATGCGTAAATTTCACTGAACCTTAAGATTTCCGAACGTCGACTGTAGTAGTGATTTACCCCGTTGTGCCAATATTCTATTTCTTTTCAACGGCATGGCTTTTTTACTCCCTATTTTATAATTAGGTTTTATGGAATTCGTTTTCATAATTTATTTTCCATTTATTTATTAAAGTGACAATAATATGACATGTTCCGTCGTCTGAGCTGAACAATTTGAGCAACAGAACCAAATAGCCAGTGCTACAATGAATACCGTTTTAAACGGAACGATAATAAGTATTGAACATATAAATTAGCAAAAGTGGAGAATGTGATGCGGTTTTTTTCGGTGTATGTGTGTTAGTCTATGGTATTGGTGCGCGCCAATGGCTTGTTAATTTACTTCTTTTCATCCATTTAGCTTTTTATTTTCACTTCATGGCGAATAGTGTCGATGTATATGAGCGAAACCAAGCCAAGCCCTTTGGAAAATTACCGATCGCTCCACAAAATTGAAATTTGACATGACAGCAACGTTGACTAACTTTTTTTTTTCGTTCTCCTTTACGTTTTGTGCATACATTCTCACACATAGTGTTTTATATTTTTTGGGTAGTATTTTTTTTCCTACTGTTGCAATTTTCGAACGTTGACAAAGTCAATCTTTGTTCTGTTCTAATGATTATTATCGGATGACAATTACATTTGGTTGAGTTACATTATGCGAAATGAAAATGTGATGTGTTCACTTCTAATGGGAAAATCCGACTGTGGTGATTCGGAACGCCCGAACTTGAAATGAAAATACAAAAGAATTGCTTCTGTTATCATTTCAAAGAGTTATAGTTTTCGAACAATTAAAACTTGATGATATGATGTATGTCATATCCAAAATTTTGACTATCACCGAAAGAACTGCTTATGAACGATAGGTAATAAAAAGTTTAAGTATAAAGCAAATGGCGCAAACCATGCCGCTCTCTTGCACTTTGTGTTCGTTGATGCAAGAGATAGAGATTAGAGAACCCTAAGAAAAAGAACCCAAAGTAAATATAGACCAAAGTTTCGTTCCAAAGGTTGATTGTAGAAGTTCAAGTCTTTTTTTTCTTATTAAAAATATTGCGATGCGAACAAACGAAGGTTAAATTCAAATATAATTGTACGATTGTTCTGTGTAATTTGCAACCATATTCGTCATATTCATTTAATATGAGAAGGAAAAAAAGAAAGAAGAAATACATTGTTCACTTAAACCAAAAGTCACACACAAAGCAAAGCTTTTGACGGAGTTTTCGTTAGCTTTTAACAAAAGAATTTAAGTGCTATTTTCAACATTAATAATGAAGTATGCAGTTGTACGATGTCAAAGTCCTTTTTCAACAAACTTTATTTTATTCCTTTCTTTTCTCGACTTCTTCCCTGAATCATCATCACTTTGATCACAATTTGATGGAATATGTTTCGAAGTGTCTTTTGTTTTTTTATACCATACACATAACAGTAATGATTCAAGTGTGTTGTTCCCCCAAAATTGGCTGCATTGCATTGTTCATTTCAAGATTGCGTGTAAAAATAAACACTTTTTGGTATAACCTGCATATATTGTGTGTATTCACTTTTATAAAATCCAACTCGTGGATACTCGCTAGGGGGTAGACACGGGAATTTCAGATTTGAACAGATTTTAGAAGATCCATGCGTATATTCATGCTAAGATTCATGAAGATTGATTGACATTTGATAGATGTATGGTTTTTCGAGTCTTTCATGACGTTTTTCGGATATTTAGGACGATTTCAGTTTTTTTCTACAGTGTCCAGCCCCTTATCGACTTGATTAGACCATTTGTGCAGCTATTTTGCTTAGTCGTATTTTGGTGTGTAGTTGATAGACATGAATTTTAACATTGGTATCATCTCTACACGAATGTCCCTTGTTTGTTAAATTTTCTCTAGTAGTTGTTGTAATCATCGAATACTCAAATAGCTTATAAATTTTAACCATTTAGTTTTGCATTACCAGGACAATGCATATGGAGAATTTTATGTTTTTCTTCTCTTTTCTTCGAAACAAATTTGTCTATCATTCCTTATGAACAGTTACAGTTTGTGTAGAGACAATGCTAGAATATATGCTGTTTTGTTTGTTAACGCAGAAAAATCAAGAGAACAAAAATACGCTTCCAACAGTTGCTAATATTTTCAAATTGCGTGTGTTCTAAATTGGAATTTCTATTTCACTAATAGCGTCTATCCTCTCAGCACATACATCAGGTGTTGCTGCTTAGGTTTTGTCCAAAGAAATGCAACACTTGAGCTCGTACCACTATTGCATTTATACTACTCTCCGTATACACAATTAATGCAGTGGAATGTGATTTATATTTGCGAAGAGAGTTTAAGTAAGATGCAAGCGACTGCCATTCGCCCATAGCGGATGCAATGTACGTTAATGGAAAAGAACCGTGGAAAATACCGTGAAAAATGTCTACGTTATTAATTGTAGTTGGTTGTACTCACTTTGAACCCTTTGTACCATTCTTTGATTGTCACCTCATCGTAGCGTGTGTGTGATTTTAAGAACTCCATATCTTCTTTTGTAAGACGATCTTTACTTCCTAAGCAACCCATTCTGTAAAGAAAACGGGGAAAACGAAATAAATTAGTCGCTATTCATTTTAACTTCAGTCACATTTTAATGCTGCAGAGCAATTATTCAAGAGTGTCAAATTCATTTTTCAAACAAGCTCCACCGCTCACTCGCTATCATCGACCCTGGCTCTCCGGCAAATGTTTGCGTTACACATTTTATAGTACGGTCATGGTGAGTGAGAACGGAGTCTTGAATTATAGATGGTTGGATAAAGTGTTTATCATTTGTTTTGATAAGCCTTATTTGGCTCGGCTCGGCTTGGCGTGATGCCGAACCGATGCCAGTTCGGGCTTTTTTGCCGTCGTTCGTCGAGTGACGTTCGAAATACAGTGAACGAAAAAAAAGAATTCAAATTAACCTAATTGGATTTTTTGTTTTTACATAACGCACACTCGTACAATATGCATTTAAAAATATAAATCATCATTAAAAGTAGTTGACATGGATAGAATGATAAAAGAGGAGAGAGAGAAAAAACTTAAAAACTTTGAGTTATTAAAATCAGTATATTTCATTTCAATTGTTGCAGATTTTATACTTTTTTCTCTTTATATCGACACATTCCACCTTGATTGAGAGTTAAAGTGACGCGCGATTTATGTTAATTATTTGTTACACACAAAATGGAAAAGTTTTCCATGCACACTTTATTTGCATCAGAACAAAACGATGGCAGGGAGGGAGAAGTTGCAATGAAGAAGAAGAAAAAACCATCAACAAGCAATTATTTTAGAAAAGGACATTTAAAAAGGCTAGAAACGCTGTAGTTGAAAATGCAAAAGCAGACGTAGAAATGACGAATGACATAATTTCTAAATGCACTCGACGTAAAAGCCAAATTAACACAAAGAAGGGAAAAAAGCGTTCAAGCTTTTACACAATTAATAGCACCACTGGAAATGCACAGCCGTAGCACAATGAATCAGTAAAATGGTAATAGAACATTTGTCGGTGTGCATGTTGATCTTGTTTTTTTTCGATTCTATTTTATTCTTCTCCTCCTCCTCCTCCTCCTCCTACAATGTGCTCACTCATATCGCTCACCCCGTTTTTATTTCTGTTCTCCGCAGTCAAAATACCAAACAATAAACTAACTAAATGAACACAAATTGTAATCACTGGAGCTGATGTGTTGTCATACTTTTTGTATGTATGCTTGAGTCGGCGTGCTAAGCACCCTTTTTCAGCACTACATGAAATGCAGAGCCATTGTCGTCGCGATTTTACCTCACGCTTTTAGAGGGCTCATCAGATCACATAGAATTAATGTGACTTGCTCAAAGTGAGTGGAATTGAACTTAATGGTACAGAGAGAATTTTAAATTTGATGGAGTCGAAAGTTAAGGTAGAATTATCCATGTTTTGTTATATATTTCATTTTGTGTAAAATTCATGCGAACACAAAATTGTTGTGGTTTCACAAGCGAATAAATTTTTAGCAAGAAACATTAAACTCACTCACATCCGATTCGAATTGGCACTCATACTTACTCAGTTGATTTTTCATTAAGCGTGCGTTTAAGCCCATAAATGAAACTGAAAGGAATCGAACGAGTAACACTTCTCAATAAATGATATATTGGGAGTGTAAATTAATTCGTGCGGTTTTTTTTTTTAAATTTAAGCTTTATTTCGAAAAAATGTTTATACATTCAATGTTCAAACTATTGTCCATTGCTAGACACTTTCACATTCTGCCATCTTTCTGGCAACTTATGGATTCCATCCCGGAAAAAACGTACCGGCTTGGCGGCCAAAAACGTGTCAAGCCAATTTTTGATTCCTTGAACTGAAGTGAAGCGTGTTCCGGTGAGGGCATTCTGCATGGATCGAAACAAGTGGTAGTCGGAAGGAGCAAGGTCTGGGCTATAAGGGGGTGGGGTAAAACATGCCATCCGACGTTCTCCACGTAATTTTTGACCGGTTGAGTGCGATGAGGCCGAGCATTGTCTTCATGGAATATTATGGGCTCGTGTCTGGTCGCATATTCCGGCCGTTTTGCTTTGGTTGCTGCGTTCAATTTGATCAATTGTCGTCGATAGCGTTCACCATTGATGGTTTCACCAGGTTTTAGCAGCTCATAGTAGAGCACTCCCTTCTGATCCCACCAAATAGAGAGCATTACCTTGAAGCCATGGATATTTGGCTTGGCGGTCGATGTTGATGCATGGTCGGGCTTATCCCACGATTTTTTTCGTTTTGGATTATCGTAGTGGATCCATTTTTCATCACCAGTAACAATTTGATGCAAAAACGACCTTTTTTTGAAGCGTTCAAGCAACATTTCTGACATACAAAATCGACGTTCGACGTCTCTTGGCTTCAATTCGTATGGTACCCAATTTCCTTGCTTTTGGATCATTCCCAGATTATGCAAACGATTTGCAATGGTTGAGCGATCAACTCCCAATGAATCTGCAAGTTCTTCTTGCGTTTGGCACGAATCTTGATCGAGTAATGCCTCCAATTCTTTATCTCTAAACTTTTTTGGCTGTCCGGGCCGCTCCTCGTCTTCCAAGCCAAAATCACCACTTTTAAATCGTGCAAACCACTTTTGACACGTTCGATCAGCTAGATCATGGTCACCATAAATTTCCACTAAAATTCGATGACTTCCGGCTGCACTTTTCTTCATCATAAAACAATGAAGAAGAACGCCCCGTAAAAACACTTTATCTGGCACGAAATTCGACATTGCCAATTGAATAAAAAATGTTATTGTTTACGCTTCAATCAAATGATTTAACTCGATTTTCATTCTCAATATATGGACATTAAACCACATTTCTTTCTACTCTTTCTTCCTGCCCTTTTTTTATTTGTGACTTTTCAAATGCACCTCATTTCTCGCTATAATACGCAATTAGTGTCCACCAATACAAATACAGCCGTAGAATGTTGGCCAGATTCGTGCTGATAGGTCGAATAAAAGATGGATTATCTTTGTCGTAATCATGCTGCGTTGTCACGTAATCAATTCCGAAAAGGCCGTGTATGCGTTCGCCTCATTTACAATGCGAAATGGGTGTGTGATGGGCCAATCTTGCCGACGTCCAAACTGACTTCTGCATCTATTCTTTTGATTAGAAGTGGAAATCAGCTCACGCTAAAGCTGATAATATTCTTCTGTTCCAAATATCATGCTGTCGTTGATTGGTTTTTGGCGATGAACGAATGAATGTGAACTATGTTGGGCTCACAAATTTTAGCTGCGAGTTTTCGATTTATATAATGGCCCAGGGCTGGAATTCTAAGTCATTCCACCAAAATCATTCGAAATTATTTTTTTTTTTGTACATAAGACCATATTGGAGTGAAAGAGAGAGATTCCACTATTTTTCTGCACTCCACCGGAATTATTTCTCACACAATCTACTCTTCCTTGAGTTATCGGAATAATTCCGGTGGAATGCAGAAAAATAGTGGAATCTCTCTCTTTCACTCCAATATGGCTTATGTACGAAAAAAATAATTCCGAACGATTTTGGTGAATGACTTAGAATTCCACCCCAGTACAACGTATAGCTGCATATATAAAGTGTGATTGATGAGACAATCAGAATCACAAGCTGGTGCAATTTGGTGATGAGCTTGATTACCGAAAATGCTTTGCCTTGATATAAAAATGGATATGTAACTAGATTTACCAGAACCACCCACCCTCCCCCAAATATAATAACATATTATCGAAATAGCCGAAAGGGCAATCACATAGCCATGTCATCATATTCGTCAAAAACAAAAACCAAATTCGAAAAGCCTAAATATTTTGAACAGTAGCGGTAATGTATGATGATTGGCACTTATACAAGTTTATTGACAGCTAAAGTCCAAAGGCTGGATGGATGGCTTGGTTTTGATTATTTTGACCATTGGTTGAACATTCTATGTGATTCGACACGGTGTACATATAGGGAATGTTGTCATGGTAATAAATAATGGTTCGGTGCGCTTTGAAACGCCGAGAGGCATTTATCTAGAAGTATGTAGAAAGAGATTGAGGTGCAATCTCCATGATCAAATATAAACCTCAACGCTAAGTCAGCGAAAATGTATTTTAAATAGCTTCAAGTGCTTAATCGATCGACTTTAATCACTGGCTTTCATCACTCGCTACTACTCGTATGTGCAACAGTCTTTCCATACACACACACACACACACACACACACTCATTTTCGTGTGTGATAACTTGTTTAATGTGATGTGTATCTTCGTTTCGTCTAGCAACGACAAAAGATAAATTGAACTCTACAGATATATAGAATAGACAAGATGTATCATGTATGAATAACTGTGAAAATAAGTTGACAGGAATATTTATTTCAGAAAAGTAATAGTTTATTACGTGTGCCATCCCAATTAAAGTTGCTTCAATTTTTATGGCATGGATTGTAGTATCACTTTTGGTGAGAGTTTTAAAATGTCATCAACTTATTCCCAGTGCTTCACATGCGGTACATACATCATATACTCATACGACAATAGTCCGCTGCGGGCAATCTATGTCACATTTCAATCGAACAAAAACAGATGATATTTCTATAGAAACTGAATATCCATCGAATTGCCCATATACACTCATAGGAGTTGGATGAAAGGTTCGAAAATCAAATAGCCGCTTGTTTGCACAACAAATTTGTTCGCATTCAGCAGCATTTGAAATAATTAAATATGTGTGTAGAGTAAGGTGGTTGTGTTTGTCGGGCAAATGATTGCAATTCCGAATTTGGTACAACACACATAGAAAACCCTATATAATGTGAACTCAATGTTGCCTGCTGACACATCGGTCAGGTATCATCGTTGGTTTGGACGTGCTCACACAAGCATCTAGCACTACTAAAACTGCGTATTTGTGTAATTTTTTTTTCGTGCGCTTGAATGTGTGTGTTCAATAAACATAAACAGCGACGATTGCAGTAAAACTCGTAAATTGAATGAAATATATTTTCAGGATGCACTATGTTTACTGATGCAG